TCAGACAATATAGATGCCATGTCAGCAAATACTAATGACAAAACCAACAGGCCAAAAACCACGGATGTAAAACAAGCCAAAACTAAAATTACAATGCCACCCATAGTAATTGATGGGAAAACCACCAACCCAAAAAATCTTATACAGGACATTAAAGCCATTGCCAAAGGTAGTTTCAGTATAAAACATACGAACTACACTACCGTCCTATTTATAGATGAGAAGGAAGATCATGAGAAAGTCCTAGCTAACATAAAACTTGACAAGATGCCGTATCACACCTACACAAACAATGAAGATAAATCCCACGCCTTTGTCTTGAGGGGCTTGTCAGAGGGCACGAAAATCGCAGACATAGAACTAGATATGGAGGAACAGTATGAAATCAAAACTAGAGCTATCTACAAAATGAAAACGAAAGATCGTCCTCTATATCTAGTTATTACTGACCCAGCGATTACGTTGGACTACCTAAACAGGAATGCTCGGCGAGTACTCTACACAAGAGTTGTGTGGGAGTTAAGAAAATCTGCAAAACAGATCGTACAGTGTCATACATGTCAAGGTTGGGGGCATGCAACGGCAAACTGTGGACGTCCAGCCAAATGTCTCAAATGCGCGGGGGATCATCATACCCGCACATGTACAAAGACTAGAGAAACACCGGCTACCTGTGTAAACTGCGGGGGTGATCACCCCGCGAATTATACCAAGTGCAAGGCCTACGTGGATAGGCTTGAAAGGCTAGAGGAAAAGAGAAAACCAAGGCAGCAGCAAACTAAATACGTGCCTGCTCCCCTACCTGCGGTTAACAGATGGGAAAACAGGAGACAACCCACTAGGAATATAGAAGAATTCCCTGCTTTACCAAGCAGGAGCCAAAACCCAAGCCAACCAGAGAGAAACATAAGAACTGAGAGGCCAAGGCAGGAAAATGAGGGTAAGATCATGAACGATGTCTCGACCCTAAATAACGAATTAATAGAGTTAAATAAAATCATTAACATCGGCGAAATGACTAGAGCCGTTAGAGAATTAAACGCAAAAATGAGACAATGTAAAACAGGACAACAACTATTCGAAACATACAACGATTTCATGACTAACATTGACTTTAATTTCAATTTAAGAAACTGAACTAAATAGTAAAGACAAACAAACACTTAAAATTTGTTTTTATAATGCAAATGGGATGCGCAACAAAACAGCACTTGCTCGCAGTTTCATTCTCAAACATCATTTCGACATCATACTCCTTACGGAAACACACTACAAACAAACTGACAAAATCAAAATACAAGGATATGATGTCATACGACAAGACAGACCAGACCAACCATGGGGTGGAGTAGCTTTCATCATAAGATCTAATATTGAATTTAAACAAGTTTCTAACCTGAACATCTCACAGGAGCATATAATAATAAAAATAAATGAAATAACACTCGTAGGACTATATAACAAGCCATCTAACAACTTTGCGCCTATAGAATTCCACAAAATCATGGCCACGGGTAACAGGGTTCTATTACTCGGGGACCTGAATTGTAAACATCCACACTGGGACGCAAATTGCACAATACCCAACAAAAACGGCAGAACCCTTGATAAATTTGCGGACGATAATGATTATATTATTCACTATCCCGATGATCCAACGCACTTCCCTTTCTGCGCAGATCACACACCGAGCACTATAGACATAGCGGTAGCAAAAAACTTACCCAACATTGAAAACACAAGAACGATTAAAACACTAAACTCAGACCACGACCCCGTATTCTTAACAATTAAATCTACCACAATCATCCCCAGAATACGGGGTATGTACTACGACTACAATACTACAGACTGGACACAATACAGACGAACCCTGGACTCAAACATCACAATTAACACCAACATTACCGACATACAAACACTTGAAAACGAATTCGACAATTTACAAAATGCCATTTTAACAGCCAGAAACACATCGACTAAGAAGACAAAACGAAAACCACATCACGAAGACCTACCGCAAGACATTGTAGAGCTAATACACACGAAAAATAACATACGTAGACGATGGCAAACACACCGACAAGCCGCTGACAGGGTTATTCTACTGGAAATAGCAAAAACAATAAATAAAATGATTCACGAATTTCGAAATCAAAAATGGAAGAAAACCCTGGAGGCGGTCAACACAAAAGACAACTCAGTATGGAAAATTGTCAGATGCTTTAAAAAGCCCTACTCACAATTACCCATACTGAAACATAAACAAAACAATACAACCTACATTACGGACGAGCAAAAGGGAAGTGCACTTGGAGAATATTTCCAAAGTAATTTCGTAAACCCTCAGGCCAATAACGAACAGCAAAATCAAATTGAGAACACGTATGATGATATACAAAATATCCCCACACAAAATATACCCCCCCAAATGCTTACTTCCCCTCAGGAAGTATATAACACAATTAAAAGATCCCCGAGTAAGAGAGCACCTGGTCCGGATGGCATCCATAATAAGCTACTAAAAAATCTCTCTAAAAAATCAATGGTTCACCTACATTACCTAATAAACACAGTATTGAAATTACAACACTACCCAGAAAACTTAAAAAAAGCCAACATAATACCCATCCATAAAGCTGGCAAAAATAAAAATGAAATAGAAAGCTACCGCCCCATTGCCCTCTTAAATGGCATCGCCAAAATACTCGACAAAATTATACTCAACAGAATAACGACACACGAACATGACAAACCAATCATCCCTAAGGAACAGTTTGGATTTAAAGCCGGACACAGCACCATAGCACAAATAATTAGAATTGCGCATCACGCTAAAAAAGCCTTTAATGAGCAAAAACAGACAGTGCTAGTCGCGCTGGATGCTGCGAAGGCTTTTGATACAGTCTGGACCAAAGGGTTGATTTACAAGATGTTTGTGAATGATTACCCTGTTTCCCTTATAAAAATAATGCAAACGTACTTACAAAACAGAACATTTAACATTAAAATCAACAATACTATACAAGGACCTTACAGAGCACAGGCAGGAGTACCCCAAGGATCAGTACTTGCGCCGCATCTGTATTCCATCATGACCCATGACATACCAATGGGTCAGGATGGCATACAGACGGCCTTGTATGCGGACGATACTTGTATCTACAAAACATCCACATCAGCCAACATAGCGAGCAGAAGATTGGACATACATATAAACCGAACGGTAGTCCCCTATCTAGAAAGTAACAAAATAAAAATAAACGCAGAGAAAACTGAAAGCGTAATCCTGTCCAAGAAATTCTCAGATAGAATTATTACTAATATTAAAATTCAAGGACAGGAAATTGTAACTAAAAACAGTTTAAAATACCTAGGGTTTATACTAGATAGGAGACTGACGTTCGCAGAACATATTACAAAAAGAATTGGTCTGGCTACAGGGGCAATTAAAACACTATACCCAATGTTGCACAAAAACAGCGGAGTCACAACAAAAAACAAGTTACTATTATATAAGCAAGTAATCAGGCCAATTCTTACATATGGATGTCCTGTTTTCTGCTCTATGGCTAACACTCATTTTAAAAGGCTACAGATAGTTCAAAACAAGTGTCTCCGGCTCGCTTTGGGGTGCGACTACTATGCAAGAATAACGGACATGCACGAACAAACATCCATGGAACCTATTAAAGAATTCATACTAAAAATATCCGAAAATTTCTTTGAAAAAAGCATACCACCATTCATCAAAGACGATATATTAACAATCCACCAAAATGATGGTGTAAACAGAGTCCATGGATGTTTACATCAAAACTTAAAACTTTACAGACGTCAATAGAGACAGCCCTCAGCTACCGACAGGACGTGGACTGGGCGCTGCTACTAACTAACTCACAGCAGCGAGTATTACACTGAATAGACAAATCTCGAATCCGGCTAGCTATCAACTCTAGTCGGACGGAAGACTGCACGGTGACGTCATCATTCGATGCTGAAATTGCGGTTTGCGCTGCAAACTCAATATTGAATGGGGGCACTACTGTGTAGTCTAAAGATTTGTCTTTCTCACGTACGTAAACAAAGATGAGACACACTCACATACAAGGACAACCCTGTTTTTTTTAACAGTTTTTCAGGGATGACAGACAGAATTAAAATCATGACAAAAACTCCTTCATAAACCATTATCGACTCTAGTCATGTAGCCAAAATTGTCTTATAATGCTAACAAGCAAGGAGAGGACACTATAAAACAGAATTTAAAATAACTAAAGGGTATGAACACGGCCAAGACATCGGTCATGATCTTAGAACACTTCCTCACCCCCAGGATAGGAAGAAATCTAAGACACTATGTTATATTCCAATAGTTAATGATGTGTATATATTGTAAATAGATAATAAAGATATTTTGAAAACAAAAACAACTTTATATTAGATATTAGTAAGACAGGGCTTTATCTAAGGAGGACACTCGAATTCCCGTCAAGTACAATTTTAACCATAATCCGTTCCTAGAATTCCCGAAAAGCAGTTGAAGCTTGAGATAATCCACTACTCGAGTTCCCGTAAGGGACGAATTTAATTAGGTAGATATGTACCTACCTCAGGCGCCCGATGAGGTCAGCAATCAAAAGGATTATTATATATATTTACTTTCAATTATTTAATAGCTTAATAAATAACAATTAAATCGATTATATATTAATATGAAGCCTCAATAGGTATATTTAGGAATTTTTCGCAATATTATTCACTATTACTTTAGTGCCTCTTTGTGTATTTTTATTAATATGAATCTTCATGTGATAACAAGTGAAAAAGGAAAACCTTTAATTTTGTTAGAAAATTATAAGTTTTACAAATATCGTATTTTAAAAAGTACAGATGAAACTTGTTGTTGTTGTGTCACGAAAACTTGTGCAAAATTATACACACTAGGAGATGAATAAAAATTAATTTTTTCAAAGAAAAGTGGTGACCATGAGCATGAAATGTTTGATCAAGGTGTATTAAACAGACAAAAAGTGAGTAACCAAGTAAAGCGAAAAGCAGAGGACTGGATGTGCGACAGACCTACCAAAATTATCCACAGGGAAATAAACTCTCAAAAACAGTGTTTGGATACTCTTACAAGTAAAGACATGAAATACATTCGAAATAACTTTGGAAGAGAAAAACGTAAATTATTTCCCAAATTGCCAAAATCTTCTGCAGACGTTCAAATTACTTTGAATTTATTAGATATAAAAACAATTAAGGACGAACAATTTTTATTGGTCAACGATCCCACCGAAGAAATAATTGTTTTTTCTTGTAAGAGCAACATAGAATTTATGTGTGCTCATACATAATTTTATATGGACTTTCGATAATTGTCCAAAATATTTTTTTCAATTATTTTGTTTGTAAATGATACATATATGTTCCAGTTGCATATTGTTTATTAAAGAACAAAATGAGATCAACTTATGTGAAATTGCTTCAAATTTTAATTGATCAATGTAGCGAATTTGGATTCGTTTGACACCCCGACACCATAGTCGTTGATTTCGAAAAAGGAATACATTCTGCTGTTACAACCATTTTTCCACACACCAAAATTATAGGATGTAGATTCCATTTGGCACAAGCTTGGTAAGAACACATTTATTTCAATCTCTAGTGTAATAATTGTTTTTTAAATATCCATTTTTACTTTTCCTCAATTATACTAGGCCTCAATGATACACAGGTATACAATGTGCCCAAAAATATTTTTACAAATGGGAAAAAAGTTTATCTTACATTTCATAAAAAAATTATTCTTTATGAAAATGTTCTAAAACCTAAAATACAACCATCAAATATTAACATTTTTTCAGTCATATACACGGTATGGTAGGTATCTTGATTTTTGAAATTGTAAAAAAACTTTGTTTAGAATTAAATTTAAAGTTAAAGTAAACAAATTTAAAAAATCAAATAAAATAAAACTGAATTTATATATCAACAATTTTACGTATATGTGATAATAATTATTATCAACTTTGATATTTTCAAAAAGAAAGATACTGTACTCTTGCTCAATATTCATATTTTTGGACTAACTAGTATACAAGTGAAAAATTTCAATATCTGATGTTTATAAAGAATATTTTTTTTCTACGATTACTATCCAAAGTAGACTTTTCCACATTCAATTCTAACTCGAAAGTTGACGTTTTCCGTGAATTGTCAGTTTGACATTATTACTCTTTGCACACGCTTATTTTCATTAGAAAGATTGTTATAATAAAGCTAATCGGTATTTATAAACAAAATTGAAACATTGAAATATTAAAAATAAATGACTCTGTTTTTTACCATCATATTTAACATGCCTTGTTGGTGTAGAGCGTAGCGCGTTTAGTAGTTGTAATTTTATTTTTTTTTTATTTTATTCTTTTGTTTGTAAACTTAATTAAAACTTAATACATTGGATGATCCATCAATTTGCGATTTAAGTAGTCTAACCAATGATCTTGTAAGATATTTTTAAGATGTACTTACTAAGAAATATTTTTTATGTAAATCATAAAATTAATCTTCAAGTAAATAAACAAACAGATTTAAATAAAATTTTGGATATAAATAAAATAAAGAGTGTATTTTGTCACACAAAATCCATTGGTGTACGTTAAATGGGTAGAGTATAATAGTAGAAATAGTTTTTTCTTCATAATAATACAATACGAGGCCTCTACAATACTCATTGGAGAAAGTTAATAGAGGTTTTAAATAGTAAAACTAAATAAATTATATAAAAAATAGAAAGGTCTTTGAGGAAAAGTACCATGTGTACTAACAAAATAATTTTCTTATAGGTGTAGAAAAATACTTCAACTTGGCCTATCAAAAGAACATCGCAATCCTGTCTGTTAGGTAGGAAAATGGTTACACCATATATTTGGACTTACATTTTTACATCCAGATGAAGTAGGAGATGCATTTGCTTTTGATTTTGCAGAAGATATGCCTCAAAATGAAAAAGTGGTTCAATTCGCGGACTATTTAACCGAAAATTATATAAGTCAAGTTTCAAGTTTTCCCCCTAATATTTGGGCAGAATGTTTTGCATACATTACTAGAACTACGAACTATTGTGAAAGTTTTCATTCGAAATTTAAACATTATTGTGTGGCTTATCATCCAAATATACACGTGTTTCTTGAGGCGTTGAAAAGAATCCAAACAGATACTTATATTAAAATAAATAGTAGCAATAAAAAAGAAAAACGTTTAATAAAAGAAGACGTTTTAAAAAGCCAAAATTTTATTACTGCCAAAATTTCACAATATCAGTGTAAAGAGATTAGCCGCTATGATTTTTTAAAATGTGTGGCATATAAATTTAGTGTACATTTAAATAAATAAATATGATGCAACTTCAAAAATTATGTAGTTTTAATTATTACTAACCGCTAACGGGAATTCGAGTTAAGGATTAAGGATAAATTTGAACCCTGCCGGGAACTCGTGTGCAGCATTAAGAGACAAAAGTTGAAACGCAGGTAAAAGGTTTTATGCTGACGGGAACTCGAGCCGCCCGTATCTAAGCATGCTTTGCTTTTGGCATTTACAAATATCACCATTAATATTTGATAAATTAAAAAGTTTACAAATCTGTAACAGTTAATGTTCTGAATTTTTGCCTGTGAAGATAATTTATGCCTAACTATCTTTATTAAATGTAACACCCTGTATAATATTAAGGAGATAGGCATATTAAAAATAAACAATTTTGAAACGTACTGTATATTAAATTACATACGTACAAATCTCTTCAACCATTCTAATTTTAGAAACACACTTTGTCTTGTTTCTAACAGAAAACAGTTTTTCTACGGTTGTTTCGCCGTAGCACTTAGAGACCCGAAAGACAGGATATTGTAAAGAATAAAGTGGAAGTAAAGTCAATAAAACTGTTTGTGTGTTGTCAAAGAGAAGTGACTAATGCATTTTGTCGAGCCAAACGACCTCCCGTTGTTTAAGGACCTATACAAAAATTTCCATAATTCTTCGGTGCCATGGACCATGCTTCCCAAGGGAGTCTAAGAGCTTATAGAATTTTGAATATTCAATTATATGTCTATCTGCAGATTTATAAACGTTTTGTTGTTATTTAAAATAAATATAGTAGCAACATGGTTTAGTTTATCTTATTCAAAGATTTGTCCTGAATCCGATGCCCTATTAAAAAGAATAGTTTCTATAAAAAAGAACGTTTTCCAATTTATTGTTTAATTATTGTACAAAACGTAAAAATGGCTATTTCTCGGAGTTTTCGATTATGCCATAAGATCAGAATTTAACGCATAGTAAGCCTTGCCATGCATTATTTATACAAGTCAACGTTCTTCTCGGAAGATGCCGTCTTTGTCATCGCCATTTATGTCTCTCTTTCTGGCTGGCACGTTGATTTATTAACTATTTCGCTAATTCTTGACAATCCTCTCATTGCTTCCCGGAAAAGAAGCTCTCGAATCATTTACCGTGGAAAAAATGACGTTTAGTGATGCGTTTTTCAAATATTTGTCGACTGGTATTAGTTATCTAATCTTCGTTAAATAGAGAGGAATCATCTTATCAAGCAAACGGTCGACCAGGCATTTTGTAGTTGCAATATGTTTGATGAATGATTATATTATTATATTCTTATCGAACATTTAAATTGAACTTGGACTGTTAAACAAATTTACAAGATTTATCGACTTTAAGAAAAGTTTTGATAGAGTAAATAGGGGAACAATTTATGTAAGAAAAACCGCATGAAAAACATAGTACTTAATCACTGTCAAACTCTATTGGCGATGGATTTCCAGCTATTTTTAAAACATCCCTGTATATTCGATCATCAATGCTATCGCGCGTTACTACAGGCCACAACAAAAGTTTAGATATTAAAGTTAATTTTTCTATGATCAGGTCGCGAAAAAGAAAGAAATTGTTTGAGATGAAGGGCAGGATGAATAATTGAGAATCCTACATCACAATTTAGGGATTTTTTTTTTATTATATTGTTACAGTCAGCATCCGAGATCCGAGGAAAGACTTGAACTTTGATCGGGCGAATGCAAGCAAGTAGGCTTTGATACCCGTTAAAGATATTTTATTAGGTGCTTTAAATAATTACATTTTAAATAACAATGTTTAGTTTTTTAAGATATTTAATAAAACATTTGTTATATTCTAGTATTTTTACACATATTTCTCATTATTAACATGTACTGGACACTCCCTGCAGTATTCTTAAGTGTGGTACGTTTTTCGCTGACACAAGATGCTGCTATATTTCGATGAGTGGACAGACGCGGTTTTGAGAAGAAAAGAAAGGGAAATATGGACTTCGCTAATACATTATATAACCATGTTAACACGTGTTTTGTGAAATGATATAAAGGTGTAATAGTATACAGGGTTTTATAATATACAGGATGTTATAGTGTAGAGGGTAACAAATCATTTAAAAACAATAATTTTTAAGTTAATTCGTTTAACTTCTAACACTATAGAGTCATTTCATATCAAATCAACCAAAATAAAAAGAGGTATGGCAGACCATTTCACCGATTTTGATAAAATTTGGTACACTAATTCTCTATATGGGTGGGATGAAAAATCCAAAATATTTTTTATTCTAATCAGTAGTTTTTTTATTTTCAAAAATCGAAAAACTGATCAATTTTGGTACAACACAGCTTCATAAAAATTAAAATTTCTTGAGGACCTCTTATCGTAGATCGCTGAGATATAGTTCGTTGTAAAGGTAACTCAAACACCTTTTCAACGATGTGTAACATGACCTATTTTATTTTCATGTTTTTTTTTTAATTTCTAAAAAAAGTCATTTTTGATTTTTTTATCAATGCTTTGGCAAAATAAGTACCAAATTTTAAAATGGAGAAATCGGTTCAGTATTAAAAAAAAAACTTGTGAAAAACTAATTAAAAAGTGAAAATGATGAACATTTTTGGCCTTATTTTTGTAATTTTCTTAAGACTAACTAAATTTTACAAGAAATATACTTATATTATTAAGAAAAAATATTTACAAATAGTTTTTGGTTTTAATTTTTCTTTCCAAAATGTTTAAAGATTCAATCATTTCTTCCCTATTTAAAGTATATGTCTGAACTTTCTAATGTACTACCTTTCTTTATTAACAGTAAATCTGCTAGGGTAAGAAAATTAACTAGTGTTAAAGACCCTTTAAAAAACCACAGCGAACGCCAGCGTTCATGAGCCTTTACCGCGGCATAATTTGTACAACAAGGAGACCGTCTCTCCCTCTCTGTCAGGTCAGGGAGGAAATCAGAGGTCAGACAGTGTTTGAG